TCTCTCTCTCTCTCTCTCTCTCTCTCAAAATTGAAAATTCCCTAACATTAGTGCTTAATGTACAGCAAATTAAGGATCCGGTAGTTTAGGGAAATTACCTTTTTTGCCTTATTTTTTACCATATTTTATTTTAGAAGTAACATTATCTCAATTAGACTGAAAAATGCCATCTAGCAGTTAGAAAACTATTATTCATAAAAAATATTAATTATGGGTCAGTATTTCACTCATTGACCATTCGTTATTTCAATAGTAAAGGGCAATAAAAGGTTTAAATTTTAGCAAATTATATATTAATCATTTATTCTAGGGTTTACCTGTTTAGATTTTTTACTCAATTTGCTACGTGAAACTGAGGTTCCTATAATATAGAGTCTATGTTATATGAGTTTATATAAATACAATAATAACATATTAATATAAATTTATAATAATAATTTAATTTACAATAAAACAATTAGGCGAAAATAGTTTAATTTCCATTTTTATATGAATTTAATATCTAGTATATTTTAGAATTTGGGGAGACTGGATAAATTTATTACTTCAATATGTGCCCTAGGTTATTATTATATTCTAGTATATTCTAGTACTGGTAGAATCTAGTATATTCACTTACTCTATCGAATATAATATTTACTTTAATAATAAAATACTTTTATTAAATTGTTTAATTTATATATTATTATAATCAGATTATTGTAAAAATATTCTACTACACAAAACATTTAAAAATATAATCTATTTTTAATTTATGAAATTTTTATTAAAATGTTATCATGTAGGGTAAATAAACAAAATATGACTCGCTCATATTATAATAATTTTCGTAAACATTGACGAACGTGACCATGTTCAAACAACAATTGAATAATTTTTTATTTGTAAATATATATTCTGTAGTAAACATAAGTTTGCGAAATACAGTACAAATAGCAGTCAATAACACTTCACAACAACATTCAATGGGGTACATGTTCAAGGACAATTTATTGATACTGTGCATAGGTCTATCAAAGTGTGCATTTATATCGGTACAATTTCACGTAGACTATTAAGTTAATGTGACATACCCTATTAATAGAAATAAATATTATTGAGCTCAATTGATAATTGGTAAACACTTTAAAAGTAATCTCCTGTTTATTGTTATTTAAAAAAGCCATTCAATTTGTAAATATTATAAATAGTATGAAATAATTGATAATTCATTTGAAATCAAATGTTATATAAAGTGAAGTACTTTATGTGAAAAATTATAAAATCTATTTCATTTAAATGAAAGTTATTATTAAGATAAATTATATTTACACAAGTGTTAAGCCAATCAAAGGTATTTGTGTTAAGTACATTTCTATATTAAAATTTTAAATAAAATGTTTATTTTAGTTTAACTTCATAAAATGTATAGTATATCGCATTTAGTAATCAATATCATTTCGAAATTAATTATTATGTTTATAATAATTAAATAATTACTAAAATTGCGTGTAAATTATAATTTTCTTATTAAACAAGCATTTAAATTAATTTAGATAATTAACAATGGAATCAAAACACGTAACAAACATGGAGATTGACCTGGATAATGAGTCAGAGCATTACATGGTTGGTGATCGGGTCACCGGTAGTTTAAAATTCGCCTCAACTGGTCGTGTACTGGCATCGGGTGTCCGGATAAACCTGGTTGGTGTGGGTGAGGTCAACTGGACTGAGCATGTACCATTAGCCATGTACGGTGGTGCTCCCATGTACCGTAATAATAGAAAGTTTTTGATTTTGGACGTACCCTTTGATATGAACAAAGATGGTAATAAATACATTACAATGATTTGACCATGATGTTTCATATAATTATACAATATTACAAATAGCTCACGAAAAACCTCTGGATCGTGGTGTACATACAATTCCGTTTGACATAAAGATACCTGATCAGTGAGTCAATTAGTTTAGAAATATTAATTTATTTTTAATTTTATAAGTTTTAGCAAATAATTATTAATTTAATAAAATATAAATTAGTTTCTAAATTGTTACAAAACTAACCAATCACAAATACCCTTGCAGTGGATCACCCTCGTCATTCGAGGACACTCACGCCTGGATCCACTATAACGTGGAGGCGGCTATTGATGAGCCCGATAGTGATGAGGTGAACACAATCAAGACCCGGATTACTGTTGACTCGCCCATGAGACACAATCTTAAGGTTGACCAAGACCATTTTTACAATAATTTATTACAAACAAATAAATAAATTATATATTGTATTAAATAGGTATTCGTGGGCGGACATGCTGACAAAACACTGTCGGTGTTCCCTAATATGGGGTCTGGATCTGTGAGTACATTGAATTATATAATTGTCTAAATTTAACTTGATAATTTGTACGTATTAATAAACTATAGATTGCATTTCACACCAGTTTATCTCGAAAAGGCTATTTACCAGGTTTGTTCAAATCTCTCTCTCTCTCTCTCTCTCTCTCTCTCTCAACATAAGTTCAATTACAGGCGAGACAATTGAAGTGAACTGTTATGTGGTAAACAAATCGACAGTCGACGTGACCCCAAGAGCTACTCTATACCAGACCCGTGTCTACCAGACCGGGGAATGCCATAAAGCCGTAGACCGAGTGCTAACTGAACACATAATTGGCAAAAAGATGGCCAGTAATGCAAACAATACGGATATTATACACATACCGATACCCAAAAGCGCCTCACTGTCCATCAAAAGTGATGTCATAAGTGTTAAATACGTGGTGCATGTGACCCTGGACATTCCACACGCTGTGGACCTGAGTATTGATCTACCGATTATTGTCACCACTCAGTCTGCTTTAGACCGCAATCAGGGTTAATGTATCCTTGAATATTTTTATATAATTATATTATAGATGTTTGTTTAAATGTTAAACTGATATAAATGTATTGGAGTTATGAATCATAACTTATTAATCATAAGCGAAAAATAAAATCACATTTATTATTAACAACTTGAAAAATATAATTTATTCAAAAATTAATTACATTAAAAATGATTAGGGTTAATTAAGGAAAGGTGATCCCTCCATCAACCACCAGATTAGCGCCGGTAATAAAATGAGCATCAGATGAGGCCAAGAATGCCACTCCTTTGGCAATATCCAGGCGCTGACCAATACGGAGTGGACTCAATCAATTGGGAAAGCTTATCTGCGTTTATAAATGGTACCAGTTCATCGGTCTATAATATATTATATAGCCAGGTCTTTGAAAAATAATTATTAAACTATAAAATATGATTTAATGCTTACATAATAGCATTCACTCTAATTCTTGGACCCAATTCTACTGCCAGTGCTTTAGTTATGTAATCGACAGTTGCTTTGGAAACCCCGTACGGTATGGAAGATTTACCATGATAATTAATATATTAGTTAGTTATTAATTTGGTATAAGTAGAGTTGTTGGCATACAGGTCTGAGTGAAGCTATACTGGATGTGGTAATAATAGTGCCATTTGATTGGTCCAGGTATGGGAGGGCCAGTTGTATGAGTTGCAATCCGGAGCGAACATTGATTTTAAAAACATTGTCAAAATTGGTGATGAAATCCTTGTCCCTGATTGTAGTCATGGCTCCAATGCCAGCGTTATTGACCAAAACGTCTAACTTTCGGAACCTCTTAATCGTAGAACTCATGAGTTTTTCTAAGTCTAGTTTCGGTCACATCTGCCACCACTTCCAATGTCTATCAAAAAACACTTTAAATGCTTGTATTTTAATTAGCTATGAATACATACTTTGAGTCCTTTTGGTGATAATCGCAGCACTTCTTGCGATACTTTCCTAATCTCAGTCCCTTTCCTACCGGTGATCACCACCTGAGCTCCTAATAGAGCGAACAGTTTGACAATAGCCTCACCGATGCCTGAGTTGGATGCGGTCACCAAAACTACTTTTCCCGTAAAATCTCGCGAATTTCTCGCTTCAAAATAATCTTTGTATTTATTCTCTCTCTCTCTCTCTCTCTCTCATAATACATCATGTATATTGTTTCATTGTAGTGGCATTAAAACACTTTGATCTCTCTCTCTCTCTCTCTCTCTCTCTCTCTCTGTCTCTCTGTCTGTCTGTCTCTCTCTCTCTCTCCAAAATAATTAAAAGACATTTACTTTTAATAAATATTTATTTAAATTATTGTTCTTAATATTACAATGAAATACAATTTAAATTATTTAAATTAAAGAAATAAATATTCATGATACAAAAAATAAAAACTAAATGTTAACACAATGTCATACATAATAATACAGTATATTAGTCGGTATATTCAGTTAATTCAGTTAATGTCACTTTTTGTGTGTATATTTTTCGAGTTTTTAATCTAAATATTAAATTGTTTTTACCGAGATTATTTTAATAATTTCAATAATGATTAATTTGATTAACAATTGTGTGAAATTTGCATATATTAGAGTCTAATAATAATTAGACTGTTTAAATTCTAGACATTGCATTTGTATAATGAAATGAAAGTTTATGAACTGGTTTTGTATGAATACGTATATTCCTAACATAATTGTGCAAGAACAGTATTTTATATAAACCATTCATTTTAAACAATATAAAGTGTTTTAATTAGTAAACAGGAAATAGTGTAGAGTATAATGAAAAATAAATTATCGAAATTAAAATGACAAGCAAAATAATGTATATAATATAAAGTTAAATGATATATATTTAACAAGTTCAAATAGCTTCGAGCGCCCCTTTTGTGGTGATAACAATCGGTAAGTTTATGTGCAGATCAAAGGCGTATGGGATGTCCAGGGTCAAATGCGCAAAGTATTTCACTGAAATCAAACCACTTTTGAACGACAGGGGCAGGCCGTCGGGAATAACCAGTGAAAATAATTCCCTACACTTAGCACTACCCTTAACCACCTGACCCACGAGGGCTTCCGTAAGGGCCACATCCACAGCTTTATGCCGTTCGCCACATATATAGACCTGTGTCTGGTATAGAGTGACCCGGGGTTTCACGTCCAGACTCGACTCGTTCCATATAAAGCAGTCCACTTCTAGAGGGTGTCCTAGTTCATTTTGTGAGACATTTTAAAATATCTTGTATTCCATCTAAAGAAACATAAACATAAAATATGATAAACATACCTGATTCAAACCCTTTTCTCATGACACTAGCGTGCATTCTGATCTGTGATCGGGATCAATTTAAATTATAGAAAGCTACATATTATAGATTAGTAAATATTACTGATCCAATTCCTTCGCTGGCAAACGTGAACTCCTTTTCAACATTGCCGCCAACCGACACCTAATTTACAGTTATTTTGAATGTAATATTTAGTAACAAATAAATGAAATCACCATGCTCAATGCTCAATGGGACATACGTGCAAATTGTTTCGCATGGGAGCCTGTACTGTGATCCCTGTCTTAACGGTCTGCACCTCATCCACAGTCGTCTCATCGATAGTTACTTTCAAATAGTATTCAATCAATCCGTGGTCACTCTCGTACGATGGTGCAATGCCCCTGGTCAGTTATATACTGTGATCCCTGTCTTAACGGTCTGCACCTCATCCACAGTCGTCTCATCGATAGTTACTTCCAAATAGTATTCAATCAATCCGTGGTCACTCTCATACGATGGTGCAATGCCCCTGGTCAGTTATACAGTATATCAACTATCTAATTTTATTATTATTATTTAAATTATTATACTAACTCAACAGGCAGTTTAAATTCAAAGGGTATTTGGTGCTTGCCAGGTTCAAGGTGTTTTAATGCCACTACAATGAAACAATGTACATGATGTATTATGAGAGAGATCAGGGTCATACTATACTCACCCCCACCTCACCCCTAATACATACATTGATCGGGAATTCTATAGATAAAGTGAATGTAAGTCTTTAGGTCGCTATAAGTATGGTCTTCCCTGTGATGACGTAGATCAGGATTTTCAACCCAGCTTGTTTTAGCCTGGCACATTAGCGAGATTCTCACCCAGGACACCTCCATTTGCCCACCGGTTACTGTGAAGCTCACCGTACCATACACTGTGTCGCCCGATATGTAGTTCCGTTTGTTGTCCACCAGACTAATATCCAGGTCTTTTAGTTGTATTTTATCCATGTTTTGGTACTGTTATAAACAAATACATTTATGGCCGGGTCAGTTATAAAAAATTGATAAATTTTAATTATTAAATTTATTATAATATTAATTTTACTTTTTAGAAAATTACAAAAATGATATAATCAGTGAATTAACTAAAATTAATATTTGAGATAATTGTATTAGTTAAAATATTAAATTGATATATTCATAATAATGTGTGCTAAAAAATATACATAGAGGTTGCCTCAAAAATATTCAATTATAAATTTAACATGTTAATATTTTAATTGTAAATTTATATAAATATCTTACCGTGTTATATTAATTAATTAATTATATCCAAAATATACAAAATTATTATTGAGTTGGGAATAATACTTCACTTGACTTGACTTAGGATATAGTTTTGAATAGTGAATACTTCAAAATATTTTCATCCAATGACATTTGTTCAAGGTCATTGCGAAATGTGTATTATTGTCAATACAAATCAAATACGCAATCTCTCTCTCTCTCACTCTCTCTCTCTCTCTCTCCATCTCTCCTTTTATATTACAACTTATCTCAACTTAAAACCAAACATTATTTATAGAAATATTTATTTACTCTCAATTATATCGTAAATTAATCTAGCAAATATAAACCAAATGTGCGCATACACACTAATTAGGGCAACCGTTTAGTTTAAGTACTACTGTATTATCTCTCAGTCGACGTATTCGCTGGCATTCACTGGAAAACAGTATATATTTTACAATTTAAGAGTCAAATCATTATTAAATTTATACGACTTTATAAAGTTATTTATAAAGTGTTAATTGAAAAGTAATATTTAATCGAAATATGACATCCCTGGGCGATAATACCGTTCCTATTGATGAGAGCATTAAAATACTATTCATGAGTGCGGACGGAGTGGTGTCCGAGTGTAGCCTCCGGGGGCTTATCCACCAGTTGTCGGTGACACCTGCCGTCGCCACTATCATATCAACGCT